ATGCCAGGCCATTCAACATACTTAGGGTGCAATATGGCATGTAGCCCTGCACCGAGTTTTGCAAGTTGTGCATGTGTTTTACCTGGAGAGAGTTCCGGGGGTCAACGCCCCCGCGGCCCGGTCTGTGACCAGGCCTCCTGGTGGATCAGAGCCTGATCAACCAGGCTGCTGCTGCTGGCTGCACGCAAACCAACGTACGAGCCACAGCCCGGCTGATCAGGAACTGACTCCAGGTGCTTGTCCAGTGCCAGCTTGAAGACTGCCAGGGGTCTGGCAGAAGTGCTGGTAGGTGGCCTGGCAGTGGGACTTTCTTCAGCTGGTTGTGGTGCTTTTGCTTTGGTGCTTGTTGATTGGTTAGGCTGGGGTGAGACTGGTCCGTTTCAGTGGCGGAGGAAGTCGATGGTAGCGTTTCATCGGTTGTAGTCTGAGTAGTCTCGTCTTATGTAGGAGACAATGGTGGTGGTGGGGCTGCTTCAGAGTAATTATCGGGTGTTGTGAGATTGATGATATTTGATGTGAGCTTGAGTATCTCAGAAGAAGGTGGAGAGTTAAACTGGGCTTGTTGTTTAGCCTGAATAGTTCGTTGATGACAGTGTTGAAGGATCCTGGTTTGGCCATATTATGCATGTGGGCATACATCATGCAGTAGTGGATCTTTATGGGTTCACCGACAGGCATAGGTGATAACAAATTGCTGGTGGTGGAGGATGAACATTACGTGGCTTTACGTATTTTGGTGGTGCCTGCTTGCAGTTTAGCGATTGCAGCGTATGTTGTAGACATTACAGTTGTTTTCTCTTGTTCTTCTTGGGTTTTCTTGAGAATTTCTCTCCTTGTTGGGCGCTTGGAAGCTAGGTTGTTCATTCTTGCAGTTCAGGCATTTTGGTGGAGTGGTGGAGGTACAAGTATTGAAATCATGTCCTTCACTGCCGCAAGTCGAGCAGAATGTTTTTTTTTATCTTTGGTTGGACAATTCTTGGCGGGGTACTGGTAAGAATAGCAACTGAAGCACTGTGGGATGTGTAGAAATCTCTCGGCTTCATTGCAGTTTTAGTTGATGTGGAAGTAGCATTTCATCGGCGAGAGCTTGGGTAGGCATGTTTACATCAGTGAAGGTTATCTTTAGCAAAGAAGAAGCGTAGGGTATTTTGGTAACATATTCCACAGTGGTCCAGGGGTTCTGATCTTCTATTGACTTCTTGATATCTTTGATGGATTGGACTGTTAAAAGATTGTCAAGTCGTTCGGGGAAGACGTGACTTGATTCCTCGTTCAGAAAGGGTGGTTGTAGCGTCAGTGGTGATCAGTTTTTCAGTTTCATTGTTGTATATGAAGACTACAATGAAAGCATCCTTGAGGGATAGAATCGCATTAAATTTAATCTGCAAGCTGCCGTTAACAGCAGCTGCAAGGGCTTGTTTGGACGAGTCACTTACTGTCGCACTTATCGGCTTGATATTCACACGATTTGAATACTGAATCGTGGAAGAGCGTGGATGACGACAAATGCAGAAATAAAGGTTGCCCTCCCCAACGAGGATCGCAGGGATACGATAGGTTGTGGATTGATCGTATCTCAGAAACCACTGATAGTCTGTGATTTTAACTCATAAGTGTATCTAGAGTTTACAGAGAATGATATGAAAAACACAAGACATCCAGTGAGCGGCAGTTCTGTAAGCAAAAACGCCATCATAATGAGAGAACTAGTAGGAGAATGATCACACTGGTTCCAGCTTACAGGAGGGCGACAGTGTCCACAATAACCACACATTACAACAGTAGAATGCAGAAGAGCATCAATAAATGCAAAAGTTGAACCATGAAGAATGTGGAGAAATTTTCTCCAGGAGGGGGTTATCAGTCCCCTTCAGCCCCTTTCAGCCCTATCAGCCCTGAGGGGCTCAGCCCTCTCAGAAGGGGCAAGCTACTTGTTTACTGCTATATCAAGTAATTGATCCCAGATGCAGTACGAGTATGTGCGCGGTCACGCGACCGCTGCTCCTTGCAAGAGTCCAGTGTTGCAAAGTGAAGTTTAATAAGAGACAGTCAATCTCTTACCTTAGCAGGACAACTAAGGAAAATCCTGGTCCCACTTTATTACCATGGTAAAGATAGTGTACATCGTTGTCTATGCTTAAGACACCAAGAATCAAGAATTTTGCTTTGCTTCATAGTAGAAATTTGGCAGGGAAGCGAAAGGTACTAGGTCAGCTTTTCCTTTATGTGCTACGGGCGTTGCAGCGGCATATGACGCTGTGAGGTCAGATTACTTTTCACCCTACTGGGAGTCACACTGACGCCAGGATAACCAACAAAGAACTCTGATCCGTGCATTAGTGTGAACAAAGTGTCTCAAAAAAACACAATAAACTCAAAGAAGTGTGATCAACTTCTTTAGTGATAAGATTGCAATAAACGAACAAATCTTAAAGAACAGCGTAACGAGTGTTGCGATCCAACAGAGTGTAGTGTGACATTCTTCAAAGAACACTAATCTTCAATCAAGTCATCGGATATCCGGGTGTAACTACGGGTCAGGTAAGTGTACTAATACATAATGAGTACGATTGACTGCACAGTTGAGTACGAAGTTACGAATTAGTTACAATAAACCACACACATAAGTTTTGTCAGCAATCAGTTATGGAAATACGCTGACATAATACCCCCTAGGGGTAATTTATTATTAATACCTTTACTTTCCAGCCCGTTGCGAAGTGGATACGACAGCTTCTTAAGACCTCGCCTACAGGGGCGGCTGTGTAGGCGATAGCTATCTTATCAAGCTAAGTTGCCCCTATATTTAATCTTTAACCTTAGCTGGTAAACCATTTCTCAACAAAGTAGATGATCTACAGCTGCTGAAAACCACACCGGTTTCCACTCTTGTCATTTAGGAACATAAAACTGAGGCTACAGTAGACATGGTGGAACTCTGAAAAAACGTTGCCTTATCTGATGAATCGCGAATTCTGCTGCGACATGCTGTTGGTAGGGTCAAAATTCAGTGTAAACTTTTGGGATGTGGTGGAACAGGAGAGTCACAGCATGAATTTGTAACCGAAAAATCTACTGCAACTGCATTATGCTATCATGTCAACATAAATCAGGATCCCTATGGAACGTTTCCAGCACCTTGTTGAATCCATGCCACCAAGAATTCAAGCTGTTGGGGGATGGGGAGGAGTCCTACCCAGTACTAGAAGGCTGTACCCCATAAAGTGGCCACTGAATGAATATATTTATAAAAATATTTCTCATATATTTTGATATTAAGTAAATTATTGATTACCCAGAGGCTACTGAGGGAGAGTGCCTCGTTGACAGTGATCTTGGTGGAGACATGATCACACACAGTGGAGTTGGGTTCTTCAGCTATCAACCACTGGAAGAACAACCCAGCCTCCGTCATCGACGTTATCCTGAGAAGTAACCAACCTGAACATCATAATAAAGATAAAATTAAATAACAAAATTCTATATAAAGAAGTGTGTGTGTGTGTGTGCATGTACTCATCTAACTGCTTACCTAATTGTGGTTGCAGGGGTCGAGACTCAGCTTCTGGCCCCGCCTCTTCCCCGAACGCTACTAGGTCCTCTGCTCCATGAGCTTCATCATACTTCGTCTTAAAGCTATGTATGGTTCCTGCCTCCACTACATCACTCGCTAGACTGTTCCACTTCCTGACTACTCTATAGCTGAAGAAATACTTCCTAACATCCCTTTGACTCATCTGGGTCTTCAGCTTCAAGTGTGACTCCTTGTTTCTGTGTCCCCTCTCTGGAACATCCTGTCTCTGTCCACCTTGTCTATTCCACACAGTATTTTGTATGTCATTATCATGTCTTCATTAATCCTTCTGTCCTCGAGTGTCGTCAGGCCGATTTCCCTTAAGGACATTACCCTTAGCTCTGGACATTACCCTTAGCTCTGGAACTACTTGTCGCAAACCTTTGCACTTTCTCTAATTTTTTGACGTGCTTGTGTGTGTGTGTGTACTCACCTAGTTGTGGTTGAGGGGTCGAGTCATAGCTCCTGTGTGTTTGTGTGTGTGTGTGTGTTTGTGTGTGTGTTTGTGTGTGTGTGTGTGTGTGTGTGTGTGTGTGTGTGGTGTGTGTGTGTGTGTGTGTGTTGTGTGTGTTGTGTGTGTTGTGTGTGTTGTGTGTGTGTGTGTGTGTGTGTGTGTGTGTGTGTGTGTGTGTGTGTGTGTGTGTGTGTGTGTGTGTGTGTGTGTGTGTGTAAATTTATCAGAGAGAACTGTGTACTGTGCATCATGTATCTATAAGTGTATATTTCCTAGTGGCCTTAAAATTAATTTTTTGATGATGTTTTGCACAAAGTTAACAAATAAAAAGTATTATATTTAACTCTTATTTAAATGTGTTTTACTTTCCCTCTTATTTAAAGGTATTTTATTTTACCTCTTATTAAAAGATATCATATTTTACCTCTTATTTAAAGGTATTTTATCTTACCTCTTATTTAAAGCTGGCACAAGAGGGCTGCCCTTCTGACTTATAAGAACATATATTGCCTGCATTAACTCTTCTCTGGACTCGTAAAATGAACATTTTCCTGCAATATATCCACAGTTTTAACATAAACATTAAAAATATATTTCCTTCTCCTCCAGCGACACACAGATAAAGGAAATGGAAAATAGCGTATCATAAAAGTTTACAACTAAATCTGGCTTACTAACTTTCAATATTTAAAAAAAAATGATTAATACAATACTTTATATTTTCTTATTTTTCAATTTGGAAATCTCAAAAGTTAACGTCTTGGAAAATATGCAGAATATGACTGTGTTCGGAACTGATTAGTAGTTCAAGAAACTGAGAGAAGAGATTAACAAAGACTGGAGAATCCACGGATCTACAGCTGTATATAAAATAATGCTTTCTATCTCCCCTCTCCCTCAGAGTTGTGCCGTTGTCTAGATAAATACTGCATACCGCTGTTCTGTCTTCGTACCAATCTGATGATGATAAATTTGTTAGCGTCCTCCAAATTCTTAAAAATCCTGAGTTGATAAAACAAAATATGCCGCCATAAGCCCCATATTGTTTTCCTCCTTCAGCCTCCTTCTTCCATATGAGATTGAAGGAACGACAGGGGCGCTAAGCAAGAATGACAGTATGCAGAGTTTTGCAGAAGATTCAGTGAGGAATTCACAGAAGCAAGAGGAAAGTTGCCTGAAAGTTGTTGAAGTCAGGCTAGAAAAAGAAAAGCTAGAAAACTTACACATAACAATGTAACAATTAAAGAACTTACTAAATGGTATTTCATGTAACCAATACAATGTTACCAGACAACACATTTGTGTGGGACAGGCAGGAGGTATTGAATTACAGACAGGTGTCATTGGCACGCATTTTATAAAACATTTTGGAAAGGATTACAAATAAAAAGGGTAGTGAAGCTGTGGCGACGAGAGAATTTTTTAAGAAGAAGCCCCTAGAATTTAGGTAAAGGAATTCTTGTCTAATAAACTTGTTAGAGGTATATAATTGTTAAAAAAATAAAGTAAAATATTGGACCGGAGAGACTGCATCTTCCTCTGCTGCAAGACATCATATGATACGGTAGGACGCCATTGAGAGAGAGAGAGAGAGAGAGACAGAGTAATACGGGAAATGATATTTGAGATAATGATAAAAAAAAGAGTAAGGTTCCACAAAGATCATTGTTGCGACTGCTACTATAATTATTTTCACGAGCTACCTAAGATGTAAGCCAAATTACATTTGTGTCGACTTGTGGGTGATGCATGAGAGGGTTACCAGGTTTCACATAATCCCAGCTTAGGAAAACAATAAATAAATTTCTTCAGTAAAACTGGAAAGTTGGCACCTACACAGTCAAGAACAAAGCCAAATATTTTCCTAAATAAATAACTCGTATTTTAGGTTTGAAAGTTGGGATCTCAGACGAGACAAATAAACCAAAACCACAATATCTTCAGTAACATTTAGGAATTGGAGCCTATTAAATTTAAATCCTTCTTTTATTGGAAGGATTTAATAGGCGTTTAAAAGATGCAATTTCAAATTATTACATTTAAAAAAATGCAAATTTTCAAGCATAATTTACAAATTTTCACCAACACAGGCTAAGAATTCCAAATATTTCTTAAGATACACCTACACTGTAAATTGGCAGCCAGTCTAAAGTCATTCTGAAATGACTGCACATAAACCATTGTTTTAATTTCTATAGTAAATTAGACATATTAGCACCTACGTAGCCCCCCAAAAAACAACGTCATGAAAATCTTCGAAACATTTAGAGTTCCGCTTAACTACAGAAGTGATAGGTAACTGGACACAGATGCCACTAATGTCACATTTTATTGAGGCAACGTTACGCTCTCCAAGAAATATCACATTAGTTGCATCTGTTTCAGTTTACCTAATATTTGGTCGGTAATTCTACCATTGTAACTAAGAAGCGAGCTTACCATAGCAGTTATCATATGAGCAACAAAATCTTCCTCACGATTTCAGTGACCTTTGCTTTTGAACCTCTGACTGATTACTATCATACAGATAACGTCTGAAAGCTTCAAGTTTACAGGTGTGATTGTATTCTCCAAAAGTTATAATATGATAAAACAGTGTTGTTTTGAAGGAGGAACACAAATACTGCTCTCAGAGAGTAAAACATTTGTATAATTAATGTGGTGCTGGTGCTACAGTTGTGCCTTACTGTAAATACATACATGTCATCATTTTATATATATATATTAATATATTATATATATATTAAATATATATATATAATATATATATATATATATTATATATATTATATATATATATATATAAATTATATATATATATTATATATATATTATATATATATATATTATATTATATATTATATATACATATAATATTATATATATATATATATATATATATATATATTATATATATATATATATATATATATATATATATAATATAATATATATATATATTGTATCTCATAAATGTCTAACCTGTGAGCCAATCAAACTTTATTTTTAATTACATTACTTAACAGAATACTCCATTCTACTGAATGCTCAGCAACACAGTAAATGATCATATGACCTGTCTTTGTAATACTCATTTGTGCTCAATTGTTATCTGTTTACAATAATATTTTTACCACTGAATATATCATTGCATAGTTAATCTTAAGTTAATTTTAAGCCTGCCCATAATGCTCTGCATACAAGGGGCTTTGGCATGTTGCACTGTAATAACTTTGTACTTCACTGCATCATGTTCAAATTAATAAATAAATAAGTAAATAAATAAATTAATAAAAAGTAAGTAAATATATATATATAAATATATATATATTTATATATATATATAATACTGAATGACCTATAAACCAATAGGTAAAACAAATATATTCAGGAATGTAATTCATATTGACTAGAGAGATCTACCACGGCAGAATAGATACTGACATTTCAACGACGTTAGCTTCTAGCAAAATTTTCTCTAAATGATTAAGATTGTAGGGAACCGCATTTTTTTTAATTAAATATATCACAAATACACAATTAAAAAAAAAACTGGGTCTGTTAAGACCTGATGTTGCAAAGTAATAATTTTTTAAACTTTTTCTAAGAGGATTCTGCTCTTCTGTTATATAATAAAAAAGATATTAGGCATAATAATAATTCAACACCACAAAATTTTAATGGATGTTATTCTAATTTAGCATAAAACAGGACGATTACATACCATTCATCATAAATTATAAGCATAAATATTGGAAAAGGATACACATATGCATCACATACCTGTTTTCGAGAAATCTTGAGCAATGATAGCCCTGAAGCCAGTATGGGCACCAGTACTGACATGGTCGCCCCGTCGCACTAAAGTATATATAACATCCATGAACTCCGGACGTTGTTTGAATATGAGCCGACCAGTCTTCTCTGCATCGATTATCTCCCGGTAAACACCAGACGACGCTGACTGAAAGTATCGATTACGAAAATAATATATATATGTGTTTAATATTATTATTAACACACTCGCCGATTCCCACCAAGGCAGGGTGGCCCGAAAAAGAAAAACTTTCACCATCATTCACTCCATCACTGTCTTGTCAGAAGGGTGCTTTACACTACAGTTTTTAAACTGCAACATTAACACCCCTCCTTATATATATATATATATATATATATATATATATATATATATATATATATATATATATATATATATTTTTTATTTTTTTTATTATCACACCGGCCGATTCCCACCAAGGCAGGGTGGCCCGAAAAAGAAAAACTTTCACCATCATTCACTCCATCACTGTCTTGCCAGAAGGGTGCTTTACACTACAGTTTTTAAACTGCAACATTAACACCCCTCCTTCAGAGTGCAGGCACTGTACTTCCCATCTCCAGGACTCAAGTCCGGCCTGCCGGTTTCCCTGAATCCCTTCATAAATGTTACTTTGCTCACACTCCAACAGCACGTCAAGTATTAAAAACCATTTGTCTCCATTCACTCCTATCAAACACGCTCACGCATGCCTGCTGGAAGTCCAAGCCCCTCGCACACAAAACCTCCTTTACCCCCTCCCTCCAACCCTTCCTAGGCCGACCCCTACCCCGCCTTCCTTCCACTACAGACTGATACACTCTTGAAGTCATTCTGTTTCGCTCCATTCTCTCTACATGTCCGAACCACCTCAACAACCCTTCCTCAGCCCTCTGGACAACAGTTTTGGTAATCCCGCACCTCCTCCTAACTTCCAAACTACGAATTCTCTGCATTATATTCACACCACACATTGCCCTCAGACATGACATCTCCACTGCCTCCAGCCTTCTCCTCGCTGCAACATTCATCACCCACGCTTCACACCCATATAAGAGCGTTGGTAAAACTATACTCTCATACATTCCCCTCTTTGCCTCCAAGGACAAAGTTCTTTGTCTCCACAGACTCCTAAGTGCACCACTCACTCTTTTTCCCTCATCAATTCTATGATTCACCTCATCTTTCATAGACCCATCCGCTGACACGTCCACTCCCAAATATCTGAATACGTTCACCTCCTCCATACTCTCTCCCTCCAATCTGATATTCAATCTTTCATCACCTAATCTTTTTGTTATCCTCATAACCTTACTCTTTCCTGTATTCACCTTTAATTTTCTTCTTTTGCACACCCTACCAAATTCATCCACCAATCTCTGCAACTTCTCTTCAGAATCTCCCAAGAGCACAGTGTCATCAGCAAAGAGCAGCTGTGACAACTCCCACTTTGTGTGTGATTCTTTATCTTTTAACTCCACGCCTCTTGCCAAGACCCTCGCATTTACTTCTCTTACAACCCCATCTATAAATATATTAAACAACCACGGTGACATCACAACATCCATTGTCTAAGGCGTACTTTTACTGGGAAAAAATTTCCCTTTTCCTACATACTCTAACTTAGCTCACTATTCTCGTAAAAAACTTTCACTGCTTTCAGTTAACCTACTCCTACACCATACACTTGCAACATCTGCCACATTGCCCCCCTATCCACCCTGTCATATACGCCTTTTCCAAATCCATAAATGCCACAAAGACCTCTTTAGCCTTATCTAAATACTGTTCAACTTATATGTTTCACTGTAAACACCTGGTCCACACACCCCTACCTTTCCTAAAGCCTCCTTGTTCATCTGCTATCCTATTCTCGTCTTACTCTTAATTCTTTCAATTATAACTCTACCATACACTTTACCAGGTACACTCAACAGACTTATCCCCCTATAATTTTGCACTCTCTTTTATCCCTTTGCCTTTATACAAAGGAACTATGCATGTCTCTCTGCCAATCCTAGGTACCTTACCCTCTTCCATACATTTATTAAATAATTGCACCAACCACTCCAAAACTATATCCCCACCTGCTTTTAACATTTCTATCTTTATCCCATCAATCCCGGCTGCCTTACCCCTTTCATTTTACCTACTGCCTCACGAACTTCCCCCACACTCACAATGGCTCTTCCTCACTCCTACAAGATGTTATTCCTCCTTGCCCTATACATATATATATATATATATATATATATATATATATATATATATATATATATATATATATATATATATATATATATATATATATATATATATATATATATATATATATATATATATATAGCAACGCTCTTCTTCCCGAATAAGGCAAGCGAAAATTTGTGTATGCAATAATTTCACAAAAAACATTCTGAACCTAAAGAAAGAAATATATTTCATTGTGTTTGTTTGTTTGTTATTAAATTATTGTAAACTTATCTAAAATATGTTTAGCTGGATTAATCTAAATTAAATTGTGCCTGTTATAATAAAGTTAGGTGAGTTTTCAGCGGTTCTTTTAGTACAAAATCATTAATTTTTACATTAACTTAAATGAAAAAACATATCTTTAAACGTATAAGAGAAAACTTTAGTAATGACTTAATATTAAATGAGTTCATGCTAATTGACCGATTTTACATATTCGGCATAACATATATATATATATATATATATATATATATATATATATATATATATATATATATATATATATATATATATATATATAAGTAGGTAGATAGATACATAGATATTTGGGAGTAGACTTGTGAGCAGATGGATCTATGAAAGACGAGGTAAATCAAAGAATTGATAAGAGGGGGAATGTGAGTGGTGCACTAAGGAGTCTGTGGAGACAAAGAGCATTACCCCTGGCAGCAAATAAAGTAATGTATGAGAGTTCAGTTATACCACTGCTTTTATATGGGTGTGAAATATGGATGGTGAATGCTGCAACAAGGAGAAGGCTGGAGGCAGTGAAGATGTAGTGTCTGAGAGCAATGTGCAGATTGAAAATAATGCAGAGAATCCGTAGTTTGTAAATTAGGGGGAGGTACAGGGTTACTAAGAGGGCTGAGGAGGGGTTGTTGAGGTGGTTTGAACTTTTATAGAGGATAGGACGAAATAGAATGACTTGAAGAGCATATAAATCAATAGTGGATGGAAGGTGGGGTACGGGTTGGGTTAGGAAAGGTTGGAGGGAGGCGGGTAAAAGAAGTTTTGTGTGCGAGGAGCTTGGACTTCCAGCAAGCATGCGTGAGTGTGTTAAATAGGAGCGAGTGGGAACAAATAGTTTTTATAACTTGACGTGCTGTTGGAGTGCAACCATGGCAACATTTATGAAAGGATTCAGGGAAACCGGCAGGCCGGACTTGAATCCTGGAGATGGGAAGTGTAGTGCCTGCACTCTGAAGGAGGGGTGTTAATGTTGCAGTTTAATAACTGAACATCAAAATGGTATACAATACCGACAGGTTGGTAGGTAAGACACATAGGCAACAGTTAGGCAACTTTATACCGAAACGCCTCACCTACACAGTAGGCTTCCCCAGCCGAATACAGAAAGTAGGCAGGAACAGTAGAGATGTGAAGACGATGTAATCAGTCCATCACCCTTGAAGTCGTAGAATTTGAGGTTGTGAGTCCCTCGGCCTGGAGAAGTTCAGTTCCATAGTTCAGTTCCATAGTTCCTGACTATGGAACTGAACTTCTCCAGGCCGAGGGACTGACAACCTCAAATTCTACGACTTCAAGGGTGATGGACTGATTACATCGTCTTCACATCTCTACTGTTCCTGCCTACTTTCTGTATTCGGCTGGGGAAGCCTACTGTGTAGGTGAGGCGTTTCGGAATAAAGTTGCCTAACTGTTGCCTATGAGTTTAATAACTGTAGTGTATGGGCACCACTGGCAAGACAGTGATGGAGTGAATGATGATAAAAGTGTTTTTTTTTTCGGGTCACCCTGCCTTAGTTGCAGGGTGACCCTGCAACCAAAGCAAAGTTACCCTTGGCGCTGGCCGTCTCCCACCAAGGCAGAGTGACCCAAAAAACTGAAAAGACTTTCCCCATTATTCACACTATCACTGTCTTTGTAGATGAAGTGCAAATACTCCAGTTAAAGATGTCACTCTAAACAGCAAGTATCCCAATCCCTTCCTTCAAAGTGCAGGCATTGTTCTTGCCACCTCCAGGACTCAAGTGCAGCCGAAAACCTTTACAAAATATTACCCTGCTCATACTGCAACAGCTCGTCAAGTCCCAGAAAACCAATCGTCTCCACTCACTATCTAACACGTTCACACATGCCTGCTGTATGTCCATGCCCCTTGCACGCCAAGCCTTCTTTATCCCCTCCCTCCATCCTTCCTTAGAACGACCCTTACCCTTCCTTTCCTCCACAACAGATTTATATATCCTCTAAGGCATCCTATTTTTCTCCATCCTCTCTAAATGAACAAACCATCTCAAAAATCTCCTCTAAGGCCTCTGAACATTATTTCTATTACTCCACACCTCCTCCTAATTTCCACACTACGAATTCATAGCATAATATTTACGGCACACGTTCCCTTTAGACATGATATCTCCACATTCATACATTCCTTTCATTGTCTCCAAGGATAATATTTTTTGTTTCCACAAATACTTCAGTGCACCAACCACCATTTATCCTTCATCAGTTCTATGGTTTACCTTGTGCTTCATAAACCCATCCGCCGACAAATCTATTCCCAAATATAAGTACACATTACGACATTAACTTCTTTCACACTCCCTCCAATCTGATATCCACTTTTTTTACCTAACTCGTTTGATTCTCTCGTCACTTCACTCTTATCTATAAGCACTTTTAACTTCTTCCTTTACACTTCCTTTCAAACTGGTTCACTAACCTTAACAACTTCTCTTCAGAATCTCCCAAAAACACAGTATCATCAGCAAAAAGTAACTGTTTCAACTCTCATTTTGTATTTGATTCCTCATAATGCACTAAATTACTGGCTCCCTCTCTTAATCAGTATTTAACACTTCCTCAAAATATTTCGCCCATCTTCCCAATACCTGAAACTCCCCATCTTCTAACTCCCTTATTCTTTTTTTAACTGTGAAATCCCTTTTCTTCTCGGTTTTCTTAATCTATTCATCTTAGCACAAAACTTTTTCTTATCCTCCACTCTATCATTTTCTCTTCTAATGCACTCCTTCACCACTCTCTTCACCTCTGTTTTACTCTCCATATACATCCCATCTTAAATCACTTATGCTTTGTAAAAATCTCTCATAAGCGAACTTTTTCTTCCTTACCACACCCTTTACCTCAACATTCCACCAATCGCTCATCTTTACTCCCTCACTCACCCATTCACATCCATATATCTACAAACTTCTGCTCCGCATTCTAACACTGCATTTTTAAAACTATCCCACTCCTCTTCAACCCTCACACTACCTATACTTTCACTAACCCATCTTTCTCCCAATAGTTACTTATATTTCACCCTAACTTCCTCCTGTAGTTCATAAACTTTCATATCTCTCTTACTTGCTGTTGCCATTTTCCTTTTGCTCCATCTACCTCTTTCTCTAACTGTGGCTACAACTAAATAATGATCTGATATGGCAAAAACCTTGGTAATAAATACCGACAAATTAGATTAGAAAAGCACGTAAGCAAACACTGTGACATATTTATTAGAAAAAGTTTCTGTCCTGGGACCTTGATCACTTCTAACATACAGAGGTTGAAAGACAGTAGTTCATAGTTCATTTGAAGGTCTCTCATTTTCATTTACCCCTGGCACCCCAAACGTACCTACTACTCCCTCCTCAACACTTTTACCCACTTTAGCATTTAGAACCCCCCCCCCAACAAGTGCTCTCACACCTGGTTCAAAACTCCCCAAGCACTCACTCAACATCTTCCAAAATCTCCCTCTGTCCTCTCTCTTTCTCCAAGTGAATAAACACTTAATATAGCCCACTTGTCACATCCCACCCTTATTTATCTCCACATAATCCTTGAAGTTATACATTTATATTTCATCTTTTCCTACCATAACTGATTCTTCCTTAGCTCTAACTCCATTGGAAACCCCCTGACCTAATTCCATTTATATCTTCCCACTGAAACTCTCCTACCCCCTTCAGTTTTTGTTTCACTTAGAGCCAGGACATTTAACTTATTTTTATTCATAACATCCACAAACATCTCTTTATCATCCGCACTACATCCACACACATTCAAACGCGTTTTCATCTTTTTATTTAAAGTAAGCTAAGCAGGAGAAGGGATTGCTAGCATGGCTTACATATTATACATATTGCAGCAAGATACTTATTTACAATAATTTAATGACGCACTTTCATAATGGTTACTGTAATAGAATCTTTTCCCCATAATATCTTAGCAGATGGGTCATCTATCACGTCACGAAGAGTTTTGTAAGGTTCATGGATGTGTCTCACTGCCAGGAGAGCCATGAGGTTGCCAGAGTAACTCCGTGTTAACACCAGAGTCACCATCAGCCACACCATCAGCAACAACCGCTCCCACAACCAGTATTTTGGTAGCGTCGTATCTGTAATGGTTGACGTAGCAAAATGCAATGACAATATATAAATATGGATGTTCTTCAGTTATAAGCATTTGATTGCTTTTATATGTTTACTGCGTTAAAACGTAAGATATTCGAAGCAAATCACAATTTATCACTTTTGTATAAGTGCTAAATAGTTTGCAACAATTAATAAAAAGAACAGGGAGAGAAAACAGCTCACTGTAGATCAACTGACATGTTTGCAGCATTTGGATGTTATATTTACTCTACATTTCAAGTGGTGGGAGTTTTATCAAACCTCTTTGTATATATATGAGAAGAAAAGAAGTATATACAGAAGAAGAAAGTTTGGTGAAATATCAAGTGACGAAAGCTGAGATCACTGGGTTTATAATTAAAGATAATTAAATAAAAAATAAAATGAACATATAGACAAAGTTATTAGCAGTGTTGTCAGGTCTTAAGATGATTCTTGCTGTTACCACTTGAGATGTTGCAGCAGATGTTAATTTGGATGAGTATGAGTGAACATTCAGACACTTCCTACTAATTCTGCGATGGTCATACGAGTTAGAATGATCAGCACAAGCGTTGCACGCTTTGTTTATAGTAGAAACATATTTATGCTCTCCAATACACGGATTTTAATTTCTAGATATTCTGCTGACGTGTACCGTCTGGCAGCCTTCATACAAGATAATGTACTCCTCTCTGCTGCTGTTTGTTTTTTTTGCAGATACTTCTTGTTTTGGTCATAGTTACATATCTAATAGCAGTTATATTATTATATATATATATACAATGTGTAAATGTTAAGAAGGCCATAGTAACGTTCTTAGCTACATCGTTAATGAAAATGATAAATGATTTAGGACTGGTTTCTGTTCTAGATGTTTTAAGTAAAAAATATGCCCCTCTCTCACACTCTCAGAGAAAATATGAACGAAACTGTAATTCTGTGAATACTTAGTGAATGCAAACACATTCCTCTCCCAGGTTTTCAAAGCTGTGTTCTGTGAACTTGTAGGTTAATAGCGTATAATTGCCTACCATTTACTCCATGTTTTCTGGTGAGAGTAGAAATGAAGTGAGTCACTGTAGTTGATGAGTTTACAAAAGGCCTGGAAAGTCAGTGTGCGGTCAAATTTGTGCGGTAAGACATCAAGGAACGGAATCTTAATATCTGAAGTTTCTTAGATAAACTGGATGGTTGGTTCTACGTGAGTTTTTCTCTCAAATATGACATTTTTACCTTAAAAATCAGCATATTAATGACATAATGTTACCCCATAATGCTGCTTAGGACGATGTAGTTGAAGAGGTTTGCTTACAAGCATAACTACGCTGATGGGTGAATTCATTCTCCTACCATTCCTCTATCAGTAGAGCTCACCGTTGTGGTTAAAATAATTAAAGTTTACTCATAATTAATTTATTCGATAAAATGTATAACTGGGAGGGGAAGATTTGACCTACAGAATATTTTTTCGGCTAAGTAGTGCTATGGATCAATCGACAGGTACAATTGTGAAAAGGAAAATCACCTCTAGACTTGCTAACTCTTTTGCCCCTCTAATTGAAGTCTTTAATTCTATTAATTATACCGCTCGATTGTTTCAGGTGTGTATTACTCAAGTGAGGCAGGACAGGGCCTTGGCAAGGATCACTGCTAACTTGCGTGAGACACTGCCAGTAATGGATGTGATGGGCATCACTGGAACTGCTGGTTAACAAGTGTTTAGGCGTATCTCTGCTGATTTTGATTGCAAAGAACTAGGGACAGAAATTTCTTTCTGCGTTCAGTTCGTTATTTTTTGTGCATGAGTTCTATGTGGCGGTGATGAAGAGTTCAAATGTGAGTTGATCCCTCATTCTGGCGTCGTAGTCTGTCTAGGTAGATAATTACAATCTTAGTTGAGTTCGAGTCATAGGGTTACACAGCTATGCAACTAGCATACCTTGCGGAAAACCATTTTAGAAAATCACTAATTAAAACAACAAATCCTTAGTGATTAGATCTTATTTGTGGCTGGATCTATGGAAGCCATTTGAGACTTTTATGCGTGAACTGAAGGCTTCAAGTTTATATTCGGATAGGCTGAGTATAGAAAAATAGTCGGTGATAAAAGATCTTCACGATCTGCTGGAGGTTGGTTGTGGTTATTTGGCTTAAGATGCCTTAAAATTCTACACATTGATGTTTAAAGCAGTCTTCATTTCTCTGGCATTCAGGAAGACTTCGTTACAGGAGAGAAAAAGTTCTTCTGCGCATTCATTGAAATAGGTGCAAAGAGCTGGAAAGAAAGGATATTTGCAGGATAAAAATTTAGCAGAGGTGGACTCAGGGGCCACTATTTCTTTGGGGAGTAAATAAGGAAGGTGTATCTACTCTGAAAAATGAGTGCACGAAGAAGGTTAAGGTAAGGAATGTGTAGAATAGAGGGTGAATGTGGGTATATGACCGATCAGTTAGTTATCCAATCAGTTCATTAGATGAATCCTGTCCAGGAAATTTACCATCCCATTTCCAGATAACTGGGTTGCTTACCTCCGATTCCACTCAGAGCAGTGTACACGTGTGGGTGTAATTGGTCGCACCTTTGATGAACGAAGGTTAGTTAGTGGAAGACCCCTCACATGCGGCCAGTGCCAGTAAGATACAGTAAATGACCATTCAATAGTACTGTTATCCAACACTTACCATGATGAGGTGTGGGGTTTGTAGGTCATTCCCAATTAGGAACACCACGAAATACGTCTTAAGTCACTAATTTACACCTGGCTTTCGTGTAAGACAGAAACTGCGCTATATTTATGTAGCAATGAAAAGTAGTCTAATTCCTCTTGTAAGGTAATTAGCAAATGTTAGTGTTCTTCACTGTATTAGCCTAGGTAGGGTAAGTCGCGGTCTTTAACTAAGCTGTTATGGCATGATTAGGCGAGGTTCGGTCACCTGCACTCTTCTTGTACACGTGGTTATTGTGACTGGCGTGGGTAGGCGGAGTGCCCTGGTCGTGGGCACAAGTGGGTAGCCCTGTTATCAATTTGTTTAGCCTGGGATGAAGGTAATTGTAGATGCTAAACTAAATTACTCCATGTCTAGCTCTAACTTAGCTTAAATGTTCATACAAAGTGGCATATTACATTACCCTAAAGAGGCTTCATCAGTAAATTAGGCTTATACTTTCAGAATGGATTAAGAAATTATGGCAACGATTTACGAGCCCGATTTTCATGCTTCCTCAACCTTCCTCCTTACCCCTTCGAAAGACTTAGGAGGACTAACAGATTCGGAAATCAGCTAACTTCCCTGAATTCTCACAACGAGCACGGAAAATTTCCGTGGCGTTGCAATGCCCGACAGTATAAGAGTGTGAATAGTATGTATATAATTACAGACATCAGTAAATGGACACATATTGACTGTATGGATACACTTCGCTCGAGGGAAGTTAAGTCTTAGTGTACAATCTAGGACAGAAAAGGAAAATAGCAGATGGCAAAATTTATGACTGTTAGGTTTAAAGTAAAAGCTGGTTGACAAGGTACAAAATTATTATGTATTAAGTGATAGCAGTGTTGTTTGATACTAAGATGATTCTTGTTCATATTTCCTATATTAGGAAGCTGTCTTTAATCTGGGTGATTGTGTGCATGACTAAAATAAGGAAAGCTTCCGACATCTCTTCTTACTAAGCTCAGATTGTTATATAACAAATTCTGCATGTTTTCACTTCAGATGGATATGAAGCTACGATAAACCATGTCTGCATTGTTTGTGTTGTCGACAAAATAAGTACATTTATGGTCTCTATTATGGCCATTTTCAAGTCCTGACAAAAAGATACACCAGGTGAAGAGGCGAGGAAAAGAGTTAAAGGACAGGTGAGAAGAAAAACCTTACCTTGCTGTAATAATATCCGAACGAAGCCAAAAGTGACGTGTGACCAATAGTTGTTGTCATCATTCTCGAGAGAGCAAAAGGAAGACATGAGGAACACTGCAGCAGCAAGCACCACCAGCATCCCCAGGATGGTCGCCCACACCAGAGGTGCCAGGGGGAACAGGAAACCCCAGGGATCCACCTCTGGAAGACCTCGACCCCCCAAGGTCCTCCAGTAATCTATCAATATTGGTACAGTGTAGTCCACCGCCTCAGCTCGCCATATATCAAGCAAGAAAGGTCCAGCACCGATACTTACTTCCTGAAAAAGAAACAACAACAAACGAGGTGTTATTAAATTACCAAACACAGTTCATAAATTATACAGACATTTAATTAACATATTCAGAAATATATCAGTAAATCGAGGTTTCAGTGTGTATAGTAATAACCTCGTAAAATTCTAATAATAACTTTCAAATTTTTCAAAATTTCACAACGTGGCTGGCAAAAATTAAATATTTGAGAGTGAAGGAAAAATCAACTTTCAACTAAGCAGTCTATCATTTGCCGGACTAAGTGATTATTTTCTGTCCTTAGTACCAAAAATATATAAGGAAAATGCCATGAAAAAAAAATTGACCAATAGTTTCCATTTCTTGAGTTTCACTTCGTCTCCATTTGATAATGAAGTCAATTTTTTGCATTTTTTTTTCGTAATTAAGAAATTGGTATCCCCTGCCATTGATTAAGTATTGAATCCTTTTCAGAAAAAAATTAAGCAAAATTCCCTTTATTTTAAATCCTAAGTTTGACCACTGCTTTAGAATTCTAATGTATGGACATCTGAGTAATAATATAAAGATGCAATTTTAAATTAATTCAAACGTTTTACCAACAAATTAATTTCAAATTAACTTTTTGAACCCACTTAGTAGTGGCAGCAGAGGTTCAAACCCTACCCGTTCCGTGACGTATTTACAATCGTGTAAATACGATTCCCTGAGTCACTGGTATCCATTTTAGGTTCAAAAGCCTGTAATTACGCCTTTGTGCTCAAATACAGTATTTCATTTCAGTTCTTCTAACAGTGTTATTAATGAAAAAAACAAAACAGGAATTCTATCAGCTTTCAGCATTCGTACTGAATTTCACAAACACTCATCGTGCTAAGATGATTTTAAAATTATAGATAAAGCAAAAAATACTTTAGATTTAAGAATTCTAGAGAGACTGAATGTTAAAAAATTAAACCTTTAGTTTGCTACCATTTTCTGGCGAGTTTCGTTCAGGAAATGGAACCTGATGATGTGATTGATACGTCACAAAGCTACATTGTGCAACATTAATGTCTTGATAAGTTTTTCTAACCTGCTATCAATTATTATTATTATTATTATTATTATTATTATTATTATTATTATTATTATTATTGTTATTATTATTATTATTATTATTATTATTATTATTATTATTATTATTATTATTATTATTATTATTATTTATTATTAAAGATTCGCCGGTATTCTCCCGGTCCGGCCCTTTTCCAAGTGGTGGCCCGGCCTCCCTGTCTTGGGAGTGTCTGAGACCTAAGTCTCCCATGGGAGGAGGCACAAGTAGCTCCTCATCTTTGGGACCAACTGTCCCCAGACCTAGCCACAAGCTAGGCCTCTCTGGTCTGCCATCCCCGCCCCAAGGGGGGCTAATGGGAATGACAGTCTAGTGAGCTACAATCTCTGGCTCAGGCACCTACCCTACCCTAGAATGGCTGGGCATGGTGTTGATCTATTATTATTATTATTCTGTTCTATTCTATTTGATTTGCCGGTATGGAATATTATTATTATTATTATTATTATTCTATTCTATTTCATTCTCCGGTATGGTATCCCGGCCCGGGTCCCTTCCGTTTTGGTGACCCGGCATTGGCTCCCCGGGTAGGGAAGTGTCGTTTATCTTTACTTGCACCTGCGTGGCAGTTCAACAGGAAGGGGGGGGGGGGTTACCTCACCGGCTCTATGACCAGATGATATACTTATTATTATTATTATTATTATTATTATTATTATTATTATTATCACTGTGAGAAATTATGTGGATGAATTTTTACAAGTACAGTCTTGAATGAACCTTTCACCCACATAACTAGGGAGAACTCTGGCTCATCAACAGCAGTTTATACATACTGATATTGATGTACCTCTGAGACATGAGGGACTTTAGGAACAACAGGTCTCTGATATTGTCTCCCCTTCAATACCCACCGTCTCAGCTCCACAACTACAACTAGGAACATATGGTTCCTGAAAAATTACCAGGAAAAAATTTAAGCGAATAAACTGGTAAGATGTGAACTGTTTGAAAAATTATTATTAAGTGACTATGTGACTTAATTCAAGGAATTTCTTGTGCATTACTATTATACATAACAGTTGTCCAATTACATTGTGAAGAACACAAATGCAGAACACAGGAATTACTTTCCAAGGTATTATCTTGGTGATATATCATAACGCCTCCCTAGCAGGCTGGAAAGCTAAGATTGGCCAGTACCGAGCTACCTTATCTGGAGTTTATCTGGAGAGAGTTCCGGGGGTAAACGCCCCCGCGGCCCGGTCTGTGACCAGGCCTCCTTAGGTCAGTGTCCCAGGATGCGACCCACACCAGTCGACTAACACCCAGGTACCCATTTTACTGATGGGGAACATAGACAACAGGTGGAAAGAAACACGTCCAATGTTTCTACTCTGGCTGGGAATCGAACCCAGGCCCTCACCGTGTGAAGCCAGAGCGTTAACCACCAGGCCACCAGAGCCCCTGTAATGTGGAAAATAAAATAGGCTGGGAAGCGAAAACACACAATTCTAATACATGCGGTGATGCAATTCCTCGTCCAGAAAACACCGTGTACCGTTTTACCATAATCAGCATTTATCTGACAAGTTATTTCACTTATATAGAAGTATCCAGACACACCACACATTTATTCTTCCTTTCGTTAAAAGAGTAGCCGATAATTTTCCTATCGGCTCCGATGAACCTTGATTTACTCTACACCAATTCCGGTTCCCTTTTTCGATTACGCAATATTTGATGCTCTCTTCAACGATTATATTATACATTATTATTACTATCACACTGGCCGATTCCCACCAAGGCAGGGTGGCCCAAAAAAGAAAAACTTTCACCATCATTCACTCCATCACTGTCTTGCCAGAAAGGTGCTTTACACTACAATTTTTAAACTGCAACATTAACACCCCTCCATCAGAGTGCAGGCACTGTACTTCCCATCTCCAGGACTCAAGTCCGGCCTGCCGGTTTCCCTGAACCCCTTCATAAATGTTACTTTGCTCACACTCCAACAGCACGTCAAGTATTAAAAACCAATTGTCTCCATTCACTCCTATCAAACACGCTCACGCATGCCTGCTGGAAGTCCAAGCCCCTCGCACACAAAACCTCCTTTACCCCCTCCCTCCAACCTTTCCTAGGCCGACCCCTACCCCGCCTTCCTTCCACTACAGACTGATACACTCCTGAAGTCATTCTGCTTCGCTCCATTCTCTCTACATGTCCGAACCACCTCAACAACCCTTCCTCAGCCCTCTGGACAACAGTTTTCGAAATCCCGCACCTCCTCCTAGCTTCCAAACTACGAATTCTCTGCATTATATTCACACCACACATTGCCCTCAGACATGACATCTCCACTGCCTCCAGCCTTCTCCTCGCTGCAACATTCATCACCCATGCTTCACACCCATATAAGAGCGTTGGTAAAACTATACTCTCATACATTCCCCTCTTTGCCTCCAAGGACAAAGTTCTTTATCTCCACAGACTCCTAAGTGCACCACTCACCCTTTTCCCCTCATCAATTCTATGATTCACCTCACCTTTCATAGACCCATCCGCTGACACGTCCACTCCCAAACATCTGAATACATTCACATCCTCCATACTCTCTCCCTCCAATCTGATATCCAATCTTTCATCACCTAATATTTTTGTTATCCTCATAACCTTACTCTTTCCTGTATTCACTTTTAATTTTCTTCTTTTGCACACCCTACCAAATTCATCCACCAATCTCTGCAACTTCTCTTCAGAATCTCCCAAGAGCAGTGTCATCAGCAAAGAGCAACTGTGACAACTCCCACTTTATGTGTGATTCTTTATCTTTTAACTCCACGCCTCTTGCCAAGACCCTCGCATTTACTTCTCTTACAACCCCATCTATAAATATATTAAACAATCACGGTGACATCACACATCCTTGTCTAAGGCCTACCTTTTACTGTGAAATAATTTCCCTCTTTCCTACATACTCTAACTTGAACCTCACTATCCTCGTAAAAACTCTTCACTGCTTTCAGTAACCTACCTCCTACACCATACACCTGCAACATCTGCCACATTGCCCCCCTATCCACCCTGTCATACGCCTTTTCCAAATCCATAAATGCCACAAAGACCTCTTTAGCCTTATCTAAATACTGTTCACTTATATGTTTCACTGTAAACACCTGGTCCACACACCCCCTACCTTTCCTAAAGCCTCCTTGTTCATCTGCTATCCTATTCTCCGTCTTACTCTTAATTCTTTCAATAATAACTCTATCATTCACTTTACCAGGTATACACAACAGACTTATCCCCCTATAATTTTTGCACTCTCTTTTATCCCCTTCGCCTTTATACAAAGGAACTATGCATGCTCTCTGCCAATCCCTAGGTACCTTACCCTCTTCCATACATTTATTAAATAATTGCACCAACCACTCCAAAACTATATCCCCACCTGCTTTTAACATTTCTATCTTTATCCCATCAATCCCGGCTGCCTTACCCACTTTCATTTTACCTACTGCCTCACGAACTTCCCCCACACTCACAACTGGCTCTTCCTCACTCCTACAAGATGTTATTCCTCCTTGCCCTATACACGAAATCTCAGCTTCCCTATCTTCATCAACATTTAACAATTCGTCAAAATATTCCCTCCATCTTCCCAATACCTCTAACTCTCCATTTAATAACTCTCTTCTCCTATTTTAACTGACAAAACCATTTGATCTCTAGGCTTCCTTAACTTGTTAATCTCACTCCAAAACTTTTTCTTATTTTCAACAAAATTTGTTGATAACATCTCACCCACTCTCTCATTTGCTCTCTTTTTACACTGCTTCACCACTCTCTTAACCTCTCACTTTTTCTCCATATACTCTTCCCTCCTTGCATCACTTCTACTTTGAAAAAACTTCTCATATGCTAACTTTTTCTCCCTTACTACTCTCTTTACATCATCATTCCACCAAT